TAATACACTGCATCAATAGAGCAAAAACTAAAAACCACAAGTTCATCTCAACTGATGCAGAAAAGGCTTTTGACAAAGTCCAACACTCATTCATGTTCAAAGTCCTACAGGAAATTGGAATAGATGGCCTCTACTTCAATCTGGTAAAAGCCATTTATGAAAACCCAAAGGCTAACATAATTCTAAATGAGGAAAAACTGAAATTTTTTTACTCTTAGATCTGGTACAAGACAAGGATGTCCTCTATCACCACTCCTATTCAATATAGTTCTGGAATCATTAGCTAAAGCCATTAGACAAGAGAGAGAAATAAAAGGAATAACAATAGGTAAAGAAAAAATTGAACAATTATATGCAGATGACATGATACTTTAATTGGAAGACCCAAATAATCCCACCAAGAAGCTACTAGAATTAATACACAAATTCAGTAGCATAGCAGGATACAAAGTCAACACCCAAAGGTCAATAGCATTCCTCTACACAGACAACAAACACACTGAGAGGGAAATTATAGAAACAATACCTTCTACAATAGCACCGAGGAAAAAGAAATACCTTGGAATTCACTTAACTAAACAAGTCAAACATCTTTTCACGGAAATTACAGTACTGTGAAAAAAGATATTGTAGAGGATTTCAGAAAATGGAAAGATATTCCCGGCTTCTGGATAGGAAGAACCAACATTGTGAAGATGGTCATACTCTCAAAATTGCTGTACAGGTTTAATGTAATCCATATGAAACTAATACCAACATACCTCACAGACATGAAGAAATTGTTCCTAAAATTTATTTGGAACCAGAAAAGACCTAGAATAGCACACGCAATCCTGGGCAACAAAGAAAAGGCAGGAGCCATTACAATTTCTGACTTGAAATTATACTACAAAGCTACTGTGATAAAATCCGCATACTACTGGCAACAAATTAGACCTGAGTATCACTGGAATAGGCTAGAAGATGCAGAATCCTCTACAAACATATTCAGTCACCTTATCTTTGACAAAAGGGACAAACATGTTCACTTTTGTGAAGAGGAAGAAAGATAGCCTCTTTAACAAATGATGCTGGAAAAACTGGCTGTCTACAGGCCAAAAATAAAACTTGACCCAGGTCTATCACCATGCACTAAGCTAAAGTTAAAATGGATTATAGATCTAAACATTGAAACAGAAACACTAAATCACCTGGAAGAGAAAGTAGGAGGAACTCTTGAAGACATAGGGGTAGGCAAAGAGTTCATGAACAAACATCAAATCACATGAATAACACTTGAAAGAATTAATGACTAGGACCTCGTCTTATTGAGAAGTTTTTGCACATCAAAAGAAATTACCAACAAAGTGAAAAGACAAACCACAGATTTAGAAAAAATCTTGACAAACAAGCACTCAGACAAAGGTCTGCTGTCTAGAATTTATAAAGAACTAAAAACGTAAGGGCCCCAAAATTTAAAGAACCAGTCCAGAAATGGGAATCTGAGATGAACACACACTTCTCAAAGGATGAGATTGAAGAAGTGAATAGATATATGAAAACACGCTCCACATCACCAGCCATTTGTGAAATGCAAATAAAACAACACTAAGATATCATCTCACCCCAGAAAGAATGGCTATCATAAAGAAATCAAACAACAACAAACGTTGGAGAGCCTGTGGGGGAAAAGGAACCCTTCTCCACTGCTGGTGGGAACGTAGACTGGTGCAACCATTATGAAAATCAGTGTGGAGACTCCTTAAAAAACTAGGACTGGAAATCCCATTCAAACCAGCTATTCCCCTACTGGGGAATTTTCCCGGAGGATCTGAAAACATCATATCATAGTGATATATGTGTACCTATGTTTATAGCAGCACAATTTGTGATAGCCAAATCTTGGAAATAACCAAGATGCCCATCACCTCAGGAATGGATGAAAAAGATGTGGTATTTTTATACAATGGAGTATTACTGACCTATAAACAATGATAAACTCAAAGACTTCATATATAAATAGATGCCACTTGAAGATATATTCATAAGTGAAATAAGCCAGGGACACATGTGTAAATATCATATAGTCTCCCTAGTATAAGAACTCAAAAGAAGAAATACAAATAGAAAGGTATAACACAATTAAAAAAAAAAAAACAACTTGAAGACTAGTCAATGAAGAGAGAGCAAGGAAAGGAAACAGGACAGGAGCAAAGCAACACAATTATATGTACAAGATGGGTAAGGCAATGATCCTGAGAACCTTCAGATTTTAGAAGCTAGTAGTTAATTGGAAGGATTCTCACCCTAACTACATAAGCTGAATCTTGTGAACTAAGGAACTCCACTGAAGATGGCAATGTGTAATAGTAGAGTCATGCTTGGAGTGCCTGTCATTCTGGTATTCAGATACGTGCTGCTTGTTATGCCAGGCCAGTTGCTGCCATGCTCTTGGGTAGATATTTAAAAAGGCGGTGGTGAATGAAGGCAGGAGACAGGAACAGGGATGTTGCAGGACTGTCCTGCTACAATGCTATATATGGTTAGATTTACAAACTTATGTGTAAAAATATGTAATTGTTTATTCCTTTTTTAATATATTTTAATTTAAAAAATTTGTCATATTCTGTAAGGACTTAAAGTTTAACATATCAATATTTGATGAAAAGTACCTGCTCCATGTTATATCTAAGATGTTTGATATTCAGACAGATAGTGAGGTTAAGTTTAACAGCTTAGGTTGTAGGGTAATAACAATAAGCTTCTCTTCGGGAGGGTTAACCTAAGTTTGCAGACCAAAAAACAGAAAAAGAAGGGCCGCAAGGACAGCCAGCATTCTGGCCCTAGCCTTTCAAGGTCAGTGAAGACTCAGGACATATGAGAACCTATACTGTAACATTATGTAATTCAATTGTGTCCCAAATTTTCTGATTAAGGAGATTATTAGGCACAGAGGAAAGTGATTGACGATGTAGAGTGTATCTAAGGAGAGTCACATGGAGAGAAAACATTTTCTCAGGCTTTCACAGAGAACAAATTGGTCAAGCAATGGCCATAACTCATCCACATGGCTGACACTGACAAAGGATCTACAAATTGCGGTACAGGGTTTCAGTATAAATCCTGAGGGGATTTCACTGACCTTATCAGATAGAAAAGCTACAATTCTTGATGCATGGGTCTTGCTTTATGTTGGTTTTAACCATCCAGCAGAAAAGTACAAAAATGAAGTATAAGAAGAAAAGCCATATTATTATGCTGAGCTATAAAAGACTCAAGTGAACAACTTCTAACATTGCCAGTCATACAGAAAACCCACTACTATTATGGACTACTGGACTACTTTGGAATATTTTCCTGAATTCACACACTTACAATATTTAAATGACAAGATTAAACAAAAAAAAAGGGGATAGAAATGAAGGACTATTTTGTATCTGTATATTCAAAATAGTTAAGATATATAGCTACATTCTCTTAATTCAATGAATAGAGGGATTTGTTCTAATATTGTTTGTAAACAGGATACTGTGTCTGCATCTTGTACAACAAATAACCACTAAGAAAACAATATGCAATGTAATAACTACTGAAACTGTCCTACTAATTTGATTTGAAATTGTCTCATTGCTATTTCTCAATAAAATTATGGAAAGATAAAAAATAAAAATAAAAATAGCAAACTCATTAAAAATGGAAATATATTCAATTTCTCAGCACATTTTACAACCACTGAATATATTTTCCTAGCCCAAACTAGCTAACTTAACCAAAGTGCCTTTAGTCAAAGCTATAGAAGTATGCTACAATATAATCAGCAAAAACTGATAGCTGGGGTAGAATTTCAAATCCAACAGTTAAGTCTTGTTTCTTACCCTGATTCTTTAGGAAGTGGGATGGCGGGAATAAGACTGAGAAACTGGAGCTTATTTAAAAAAAAAAAAAAAAAAGACAAAATCCCTTCTTTTCAATGATGAAAACAAGTCAAAATTTATAATTCACAATTGGCCAGCCTGTGGTGCCAGCTCCACCCCCAGGATGTGCTGAGATGATAATTGAGACTGGGCGTGGTGGCACGAGCCTATAATCCCTGTGCTTGGGAGGCTGCACACAGGTGGATCACTACAAGTCTGATCTTCGTAGTGAGACCCTGTAGACCCTGTCCTAAAAAATAAAAATTCACAATTGATTTGATTTTAAAGTTTGCTTTCACAAATCATTTTACTGTGGTTTGAGTCTACAGTTTGCATGTTCTGTCACCATTACCCTTATTTTTTTTTTTTTAAATTTCATACAGGCTCTAGGCTATGTAGTTCAAAAGTGATTCTCCTATTTCAGCCTCCCCAGCACTGAGATTACAGGCATGCACCACACCTGGTTTGGGGCCTGCATGGTGTGTGGTACTGGGTATTGAACTGCCTACCAGGCAGGAACTTAGACCATTGAGCTATCTCACCAGCTCTGTCTTGATTCTTAAAGTGCCACTGACAATAATATTTAAGCCATTTAAGAAAATGCTTACTCAGATTAACTTTGCTATGAACCCTCATGCTTTCCAAAGTATACATTTCAGCCTGGGCCTGGCTTGGCCAGTCATCGGCACTGGCGGCCATCTTTGCTTTAAGGAGAAGGTGGTGTGATGGGTAGAAGTTGTAGGGTGGGGGCAGGAGGGAAAGGAGGGAAGAGAGAGGGGGAGGAGGCCGCAGCGGGGCAGGATGGGGTCTGCCTGCCCACTGACCCAGCCTGCTGCTTTCTGGCTACCATTTAGGCTTCCCGGCCACCCCACCCCCAGTCCCCTCAGGACAGAGCACAGCCCAGCTGTGGATGGTCAGACAGCTCCCATGTCTTGCCACCGGTTCCTGGCCCCAAGCAGCACGGAGCAGACGGCGGAGGCAGCAGCCGGCGAAGACAAAAAAGGCAGGACGGCTGCCCGTCTGTGGGGTGGACTGTGGAACGGGATACACAAAACTAGGATATGCTGGAAAAAGAGAACCATAGTTTATCATCCCTTCTTGTATTATGATTAACGAATCACCAAAAGTAGGTGACCAAGCTCAGAGAAGGGTGATGAAAGGTGTTGATGATCTAGACTTCTTCATTGGTGATGAAGCAATAGAAAAACCTACATATGCAACAAAGTGGCCAATTCGTCATGATACAGTTGAAGATTGGGATTTAATGGAAAAGTTTATGGAGCAAGTGATCTTTAAATATTTAAGAGCAGAACCTGAAGACCATTATTTTCTTTTGACTGAACCTCCACTGAATACTCCAGAAAACAAGGAATATACTGCTGAAATGTTTGAGTCCTTCAGTGTTCCAGGCTTGTACATTGCTGTGCAGGCTGTTGGCTTAGCTGCATCCTGGACCTCAAGACAAGTAGAAGAACAGACATTGACTGGTACAGTAATAGCGGAGATGGTGTTATTCATGTTATTCCTGTGGCTGAAGTGTATTAGATTGGCAGCTATATTAAGCATATTCCAAATGTAGGATGAGATATAACATATTTTATTCTGCAGCTATTGAGAGAACAAGAAGTAGGAATCCCTCCAGGACAATCTCTAGAAATTGCTAAGGCAGTAAAGGAGCGCTATAGTTATGTATCCCCAGATTCAGTAAGAGTTTAACAAGTATGACACAGATGGAGCAAAGTGAATTAAACAGTATAATGGAATCAATGCCATCTCAAAGAATTTTCCATTGATGTTGGTTATGAGAGATTCTTGGGACCTGAAATCATTTTCATCCAGAGTTTGCTAATTCAGACTTTATACAACCTATTTCAGAAGTTGTAAATGAAGTAATTCAGAATTGTCCTATTGATGTCAGACGTCCTCTCTGTAAGAATATTGTCCTCTCTGGAGGCTCAACCATGTTCAGGGACTTTGGATGCTATATGCAAAGAGATCTGAAAAGAACTGTAGATGCCAGGCTGAAATTAAGTGAGGAAGTGAGTGGTGGTAGATTGAAGCCAAAACCAATTGATGTACAAGCTATCATACACCATATGCAGCAATATGCAGTTTGGTTTGGAGGATCAATGCTGGCTTCCACGCCTGAGTTCTACCAAGTATGCACACCAAAAAGGATTATGAAGAAACTGGATCTAGCATTTCTCACCACAATCCTGCATTTGGAGTCATGTTGTAAAATCAGGCTGTTGGGGTTAGGGAGGTGGAAAAGAAATAATCTTTCTGATATCCTGTTTTGTCTGGCGGGCTGGCATTTTGAGGTTTCAAACCTCACATGAAATAGTAAGAGCAAACATAATCATACAGGAGTATTTTAATAAGCATATTAACATGGAGATGTAAAAGAGAGCCAAAATGATTTTTTTTAGATTGAAAATTTGAATTTTATGTGTAACAAAAAGAAGTTTTAGTTCTTTCTGCGCCCTGATAGTTTGTATATTATTGAATTACCCAAGGTTAGATGGGATTTATCAGTATATAAATAGCTCTATAATGCTTGTACACTTCTAAGAGTGCAGTGCAAGAGCTTGTTTATATTTCATATTTTATACTTTTTGAGGATAAAAGTCAAAGGAAAGTATTTGAGGAAACAAAAGTGATCCAGTAAAGGGTAAATTTAAACAACAGCCTCATGAGACCTGGCGTCCACACTTATGGAATTCCAGTTATTGTGATATGAATTGCTTCCCTTTCCCTCTCCTCCTCAGCCCCCACCACTGGTTTTCTTTGTAAGTGCTTTTGGAACTAAGACGCTAGTGTCTTGGATCAAGTGATGGCTGCTAGTGCTCGCATATGTTTCTTGCTTTAAATGGAAAGTAAAGACAAGACTGTTGGACCAGTTTAAAAAAACAAAAAAGTATAATTTCATTTTGTAGCAATTAAAAATTTTTCTTAAGATAGCACCTGGATCTCAACTGACAATTTTTAATTAGTTCACATGTCTTCTTCAAAGAGAAACCCAAATCTTGAAAGACTGAACTTGCAACACAAAAGACCCATAAGGCTTTCTCTAGGTTTTAAATCTTGCACCTAAATGCACACAAGATCAACTGATTTCATCTTTATCTCTGAATTTACACATACAAGTACACAATTATTTAAAATCATTAGGGGCTGAGAGAGTGCAGTAGGAGGATCATCATGAGTTTGAGGTCAGGCTGGGCTATATAGAGAGTTCACAGCCAGCTGGAACTACCTGCTGTGATCCTGTCTCAAAAAGCAAAACAACAAAAAAGTGAAACCCATGGGTCATGTTTCTCAATTTTTGGTGTTTAAAACGTAACACATCCTTCACAACAAACTCAGTAAGACTCATATTAGCCTTGTGTACTTAAACACACTAATATTTCTACAGCAAATTATAACTATTCATATTGTAACTTTTGTAGCACTTGTCATGCATATGAATCAAGTTTGTATTGTGAGGCTTTAGAATAAAAAATTGTGGAATTATATGACTTCATATAATCCAAAAAGTCCATAGACTATCCAAGCACAGTGACATATATCTGGGAGGCTGTAGCAGGAATAACTCGTTTCAGCCCAACCCTGGCAATTTAGTGAGAAGTTGCCTCAAAATTAAAACAAGGGGAGATTGAGTATTTAGCTTACTGCAAGACCCTTCAGTCCAATACCAGCATGACAAAACAAACAATAAAACCAAAAAGCAAGCTTATGAGATATACTATCATAATTCAACTTTATTAGGTAACAGGTAGAAAAGACATTAAGTACCTGTCTATTGCCCCACAGCTAGTAAGCAGCACAGCTAGAATTTCACACTAAAAGGACAGTTTCCATGTATTTAACCATTATGCAATACTGGCTTTTAATGTACTTAACCAAAGTACCAACCATATACTATTGTGCAATTGTTTTAAGAGTTGGGGCTGCACTATGGAATATGTTGAAAAAACAAAAACATGGGCCGGGGAGATGGCTCAGAGGAATAAGCGCTTCCCTGGCAAGCACAAGGGCCTGAGTTCAATCCCCGGTTCTGCCAAAAAAAAAAAAAAAACCATATGGATGCTAAGGTTTTATTTTCCTAACTCCTTTCTGATAAACTAAAAATTGCCTTTGGAGAAACAGCTTTTTGAAACTACAATTTGAGTCCTTTAATCATGAGGAAAAGATTTAATGACATAAGTGTCAGTGTAAGAATTAAAAATCTAAATTTGATGGCACAGCAAAGGTAATATTCAGAAGACTCAAGACATGCCAAAATCCAGAATACATAAGATGCTATCATGATTAAGAAAAAGACTGGCAAGCTCAAGGTCCTGAGTTTGATCCTTGATACTAGAAGGAAAAAAAAAAAAAAAGACTAAGTTACCAAAGAAATACATGATCCACAAAAACCTTGAGATAATCTGTGTAAGACAAAGTAGTATGAGAGCTTCCAAGTTAAAGAGTAAGACTTTGTTTGGCAGTCTTATGCCTGTAATAATAGTTTAAGGTATCGTATTCATATCTGCAATGATGACAATTTCAAAAGGCAGGATCTTCACATTTCAGATTATCTATTTGTACTAGCTTCTAGGCAACACAACAGGTTGGATCCCTAGGAACCTACATATGTAAGAAAATAAGGATGATACTTTGATATTTAGGAACACACCTTTACAGCAAATGCACACAAATTACAAAGTTCTTCCAAACTGCTTCATTTTCAGGCAGTTGAATGATAAACATAATTTACTGCCCAAACAAATCACTAACCTTAATAGTGAAATACAGTTAACAAAAATAATCTAAATTGGGTCTCGATTCTAGCTGCATCACCTACCAGTAGAGTAAATTTGGGCAAAAAATTTAACTTTTGCCTCATATTTCCAATCTGCATACTAGGAAATGCTCAGAACTCATATGGGTATACAACTCATACATATAGAATAAATCAAGTTGCAATACTAGATCTATTAAAAAACAATGCTACTACATAATATCTGTTACTGTTTATGAATCTGCAATATATATGATTTTAGACGAGTTGGGGAGCAAGTTTACTGAGACAGAAGAGAGGTGAAGAGTTAATTTCCAAAGTGATCATAAGGATGGACCCAAACCGCAATATTTGTGGGCAAAGCAGTAACTGCAATATGCCCACCAATTTCTAAAATAAAATTTGGTCTATGTAATTAATATTCCATTTAAAAAAAGCACAATAGGAGAAAAAGGAAACCTAATCAATCTGCTTGATCTTCCAGAGGGGTCACTCTGGGGAACATAGGTGAAACCATCTCAGATGACAACAAAAAAAATAAAGCCGAAACAAACAAACAAAAAAAAAAAAAAAGCGAAAAAATTCTGCTCGATCCCTTGTCTTAAAGTTACTTCTCTCTTGTTTCTGGAACAAAATACCCAACACTAAGGAAGGAAAGGTTTATTTAGTTCAGTGGAAGTTTCAGTCCATTAGTCACCAGCTCCGAGGCAGAATGGCACATGGTAGAAAGCAGCAGCTCACAACATCAGAAAAGAGCAAGGAGCAAAGGAGTGGCAGTAGCTGTGGCAGCAACAGAGGCACAGAGTAAGCCTCTTTGTTTTCCTTACATTGTAAAGCAGATTACCCACCACAGGGCCAGGGTAGCACTGAAACCCATTATCACCACACTGCATTATGAATTAATCACAAACTCTAGAAGCCACTCTAATGACTTTAAAGAGGCTTTGTGGGGACAAGTAGACACAAACCTTAACATTCCTCAGAACTTAAAATTACACATGGCTCCACTGTCTCTGTTCAGTGCAGCTGGCAACAGGAGTGTGAGTTTCTGATTCTCCTTTCCTTCACTGTCCCAGGACTGAGCAGCTGGCAAGAGGACTGTGAATTTGGCTCTTCCCTTCCTCCACCGACCTGGGATGGCATGGCTGGCAAATGAAGTCTGATATCTGCCCCTTCTTCTCTCCCTCCCCTGGCAGGACTTGGCCAGAGACCTCAGGGAACACAGAAGGACCTTGGCTAAGGCACACGTACACAGAAGCAGACAGAACTAGAGGTGTGGAAATCTCAAGCAATATTAGCAATCAAGTGATCTCCAACCTTTCTTTGTTTCATTCTACTGGTCTTTCTTTTTTTTGAACTAGAAATCAAACACAGGATCTTGCACTTGCCAGGCAGGGACAGTGCCACTGAGCTATCTCCTGGCCCTTCTCTTTTCTTAGCTATCTCATTTAAGTTTATGATACCTTCACGTGATTAAACAGTATCTCTTCTATGGTCCACTTCAAAACTGGACCAGACTGAGCGTGGTGGTGTGTGCCTGTAATCTCAGTGCTTGGGAGGCTGAAAACAGGAGGATCACTACGAGTCCAATCTGTGTCGTGAGACACTGTACTAAATACATTAAAACAATAAAACAAAACAAAACTCATGGATCTTCTGTTCCAATCATCTCCCCTGCCCCCATGTCCTATAATTATCCAAAACCTGGATGAGCATCCTGTGCCCTCTAGCCTTGCTCCTTCTATATTTAATCATATTCTTCTCTCCATCCTATCCTCTACCATCCAGAAGCCCCACGACCACTACCACCACAACAGAATAAAATCACTAAGTAGAAAAATCACTGCATACAAGTTCCTGGTATAAGTTGGATTGTATTATATTTCTGCAGACTTTCATCCTATACTTATAGGTATTAAGCTAATACCTACCAGTTTGTCAGTAGCCAGGCTATACTTGAGTCTACTGTTTTTGCCAACTAAACTACCTTAACCAGGATGTCATAATACACAACATCTACAAATATCACAATATTGCAGTAACAAAGGAGTGGGCCCTAAATGAAACTGATGGCAACTCCTTACTTGTGAGTATATTGGAAAGATATGTTCTTGGGACAGACAAAGACCAAGAGCCACCTACATCTGGAAGACATCCAGAGGAACAAACATCTGCTAAGAAAAACTCCACAGCAGTAGTAAGGCTATCTAACATAAATCCACAAACATCAACACAGAAAACAAACTAAAACAGAAAATGGCAAGACAAAGAAAAGGCAATCCTCAAATGCCCAACCCACCCAGGACAAGACCAGAGCACAAAGAGATTGAGGAAACTGGAAGACAACAAGAAGAACTGTCTGAAATGATAATAGCAGAAGTGGAAACACAAATGGAAAAGGCCAATATCTCTAAGGTACTAAAACAAATAACTACCAAGCTAAAACACGTTAAAGCAGATACAGAGAAACAGGAGTTTAGGAAACCATAAATGCCAAACATAGATACAAAATGGAATTAATGCAACAATCCAAACAGAAATGCAAGGGATTATAAACTTCAAGCAGCAGATTGAACAAAGGCAACATTATACCAGATCTAGAAGACAGTGATGATTAGCAATCATGAAAAGCTATCTTAAAATATGAGACCACAAAAAAAAAAAAATCAATCCAACAGTTAATAGCATGAAG